TCGCGCCGGTGGGGGTAAACCTTCAGGAACTCCTCGCGGGTGTAGGGGCGCGCTACTCCGCGCGCGTCGAAAGTTCCGCGGCGTTGCCCGCGTAGGATGCCTTCGAGCCATTGAGAGGGTGGTCCTGCATGTGGGCTTTGGTCGGCGCCGAACACGCGATGAGTAGTGACTTCAAGCTCGAGCTGAGACATTCCTTCTTCAGGTGGCGCGTGGCGCTCTGCTTCGGCGATGGCGGCGAGTCCGCGGCCGGCAATGGCGCTGGTTGACGTTGTCGGCGTGTGGCAGTCCCTGCAGATGCCGTCTGGGTCAGGTTTGTGCAGCGCCGTTTCGCGTGGGTGGGGATGATGCGGCACTCACGGTCTCCCGTCAGGGTGCTTCCAGTCCCTGCGGTGAATGTGCTCGAAGCGCAGTGGGACGAGGTCGATTAACTCGTGCGAATCGCCGCTGCAGTCGGGGATGTCGAAGTCGAGAACATACACTCCATTCTCGGAGTGCGCTCTGCCGATCTGCTTGCGGGGGAAGGTGCGCGACTCGTAGTGCAGCAGGATATCGCGCGTTGCGCGATCCGTGCTGAGATCGACGCCGTCGTCCATGAGCTGTGCGGCGGAGAGCAGGTTGAAGCGCAGGTTCTGGACGATCAGGAGATCGTTAAGTGTGATGTGAGTGCGGCTTCCGCGTGCCTTGAGCACGACGATGCCTTGCGCGCTTGCGCGCAGGCGTGTGTTGTTAGCCACGGTGACGTAAGTGGCTGTGGGGGTGGCGACGGCGTTGGATATGTAACGCTCCGAGCCCACCATGTGCTGGCTGCAGCAGCTGTCCAGGTACCAGGTGTTGTAGCGCTTGTTGTCGTCACGTGCGAGCAGCGCCAGTCGCGGCGTGACGATGTGCGGAGTGTCGAACTTGAGGAATTGCTCGCGCGAGAGCCAATCAATTGGCGCCACCCGCATATCAGGTACGTGCGGGGGACTTTCAAGCAGCGGGACTGGGAGATTCCAGTCCTGGTTGTCGTCGTCGGTGAAGTCGTGGCGCGGACTGAATGGGTTGTTGTTGCTGAATGCGCCAATGGGGTGCGGTGCTGGCTCTGGTGAAGGTGAGCGCACGCGGCGACGACGCGACTCGCCCGTCATGGCCATGTTGCTCATGACGTTGCGTAATGGGGCAGTCGATGACGGCTGCTGCTGCTGATGCTGAACTGCTGGGTTCAGGTTGCGCGCGGGTGGGGGTTGATACCCCTGGGCTGGACGCACGTCGCCTCGTGCGTCTTGTCGGCCGGACCAGGTGCTCGGATTGGTCTGGCAAGGGCGCGATCGGGATTTACATCGATCCGCCAAGTGCCCGAAGTTCCTGCAGATTTTGCAGTAGAGGCGCCTCGGCCGTCGCTCTTCGTTGTTGTCGGCGTAGAAGGCGAGCCGTTCGCGTTCTCGTCGTGGCGCTGGTCGCTGCTGATCCATATCCCTCTGTTCGACGAGAAGGGTGGCGCAAAGGGCGGCCTCCCGAGATGACCCCCTGCTGTCGGAGAAGCGCCTTGCACGGCCGCCACTCTGGGCCGAGCCCTTGAAGCACGATGTTCACGAAGATTTCTTCGGAAATCGAACTTCCTAGCTTCACGATTTGATCGCGAAGGCTCCGACAGCGATTGATGTAGCTGTTGACTTTCTCCCCTGAGACCATCTTGGTCTCCAGTAGCTGCTGAAGCAGTCGGCTCGAAGAGACGGAGTCCTTCGGCTGATACACACCGTTCAGGTGGCGCCAGGCGTCGAGGGCTGGGGCAGCCGATGTCTTGTACGATCGGATATTTAGCTGCTCCGCCGGCGACATGTTGCGCAGCAGAATTCCATACGCCATCAGGGACTCGTTCTAATAGCGAGTCCTGGCGTCGTCGGTGTCCTCAGCCGGTTCCGCGTAGCTCTCGTCGAAATAATGATAGATTTGGGCGTTCTGCAGCAAGAGCTCTAATTGGAAGCTCCAGGTATAGAAATCTTTGCCGTCGAAGCAGGTACTTGTCTTTATTTTTTATATGCTGAGAAACTTTGATTGTGCTGAGAGGATTGCTTCCTCACTGGGACGGGGAGCCTTGGGGGTTGAGCCATTAGTGTCGAGGGAGAAAGTTTGCGGGACGGCGTTCTGCCCAGTTGGGGCCGGTTGAGATGGTTGCGAGGATGTTCTCGCATCGCCGTTCCGTAATGTTTGGAGCCCTTGCTCCAAGCTGGTGAGTCGCTGAAGGAGTTCTGCGAGGACTTTGGTGCCGATCGTCGTCGTGTTCTCGCTTGTCGCAGCCGGGTTGGGTTGCGCTTCAGCCGTCAGATTAGTCTGACCACCAGATCCTCCGGCCATTCTCACACGCGAGCGTGTGCCGGGCGCCACTTTCCGAATGTCGCAATTTTTGGGAGTGGTTGTGCGAAGGATTCCCGAGCCGCTCTCATACCATGCTGCGATCAGAGGTTGATCGCTGCCAGGATCTACTCAGGAAGGTTCGCACGCAGGTAGATAGTGTTGGTGGGCCCTTGACCTCAATAGCAGAGTGAATGTAAATGCTCGACATAATAAAAACATGCAAAACAGAACATATAATTATGAGTACAGGGAATATGAATCGACCTATCTAGCCATGTACTCTAAGGGGTACATTCCCTTATTCAAATACATTCCCAACTGTGCGGCGCGTACAGTTACGAAACTGTTCCCGCCCTTTTCCTTCTGCCTGCAGCTGCCGATGCCGACTGCTCCGACGGTGCGCCCTAACCGTCTGACGCTTCGTGTGAATCCCTAACCGTCTGACGCTTCGCATTCGCTCTTCGATATTGCATGCATCTCTTTGCCCGGTTGAGGAGTGCACAGTAATAATTAAATATTACCATTCGTAACACCCATCAAGTCATTCCTTCGGGTGGTGCATGTTGTGCCTTTGACGCCGAACGTCCGCGAGGCGAATGCTGTTTTTATACTGAACGTTTTCAGGCGGTAAATAATATTGTTGTAATATAATGCTCCAATCAATAAAGCTGTCCTTTCCACATATTATCCTCGCACTTCATTAGAGCGTTTTGGCACATTGTTGCTTACATTGATTGGAGAAATGCAGGAATGCTAACTTTGTATATGTTTCTCACAACCATTACACACCAACGATTGCTTCCCCAATATCTGAAAGCGTACGTAACTTGGTCTGTGGTGTATTGATTTACCTGCGACAGATTTGGCCAACCATCACCATTTTCCGTGTGAGATCCGCCAAGCCAATAACCGTTTTTAAAGGACTAGGATCAGAAAAAAACAAACAAGGCAGTCAGAAACACGCTAATTTCCAAAACCAGGACGCGGCAGTTTTGTCGACACTTTGGTCTGTTGCTACTGTAACGCTTGTACACCTGGTCCGCGGTATTTTAACCGCGCGAAAATGGGTGGCAGAATTTTGGATTATCTGGCCGTGGTGAAGATAGGGGTCCAAAATTTGGGTCGCTATTTTCACCACCAAATATCTGAACAGCATGGAAAGTTCTGACAGTACTCCTCAAAATGACCACCCTGGATTTTCTCGCCATCTGGAATGTTCGAGTGTCAGAAAAGTAAGAACATCGACGGTGAAGATTCTGTCGTGAAAATCCAGCTGGAAAAGTTGCCTCCCACATGCATGGCTCGAGCTGAAATATCGAAAAAGGCCCTGGAAATTTTCCAAGTTGGTTCGGTCAAGTGTGAACAGAGATTTCTGGCCACCCAACAGAAAACGCCCAGCATGCCGACAAACTTGGTTAAGATAGCGATGGTTAATTTACCGCGGACCAGGTGTACATGAATTCGTCTTACTTGTAAGCTTTCCTGCGTTGTCATTGTACTGTACAGCGCAGGTTTGGCTGACAGCTCATCCGCCTCAGCCGAGGGATGGCACGGCTGGATTCGAGTCGAGGGTGAGGGAACGTACACAACTCAACCACGCTCGACTCGATAGGTGGCATTGGGGGGCACGGCTCGAATGTGCTGTGTCGCAAGTTGCGACACAGCTCAGCTGTGGTCTGTCGCAAATTGCGATACAGCCCAGCTGTGCCCCATGTCGAATTGCGACACAGCGCAGCTGTGGGCAATTGTGAGAGCACAGGTGTGCTGCTGTGCACCTTTCAATTCGTGACACAGCAGCTGAGCTCTGTCGCACCCCACCCCCTTTCAAACACAAACACAAAGGCCCCTCGCACTGTAGCTAAAACATGCTGGGGCCGAGCTGCAGTTTACAGCAACGCGTGTAAAATCACCTCCCACACTCACCTCCTTTCAGCTCGAAACTGCGCTAGACCAGAGACGGTCGGAAATCAGAATACATCCAGATATATTTTTGAAAGTAAAAAAACGGGAAGCCTACAGTATCTAAAACTACCCCAGGTGTCCCGAGATTATGCTAAGTGCCACTGTTTTTGTAGGGTCCTGCAAACAATAATCTAACCAAGTCTTCACAGAGGTATTTCTAATTTCCACACAAGGGCTGGATGTAACTGCCCGATTCAAACTGTTAGCAAATCAAGGCAAGGGTAGAGGCGGGGAAAACGGGGGACCATTCTCTCTTGCCTTAGATGGCGTTCCCACGTTTGCCCGCCATCGAAGTCACCCCATCAGGCTCGATATTGGGCGGGATGGTGTCCAGAGTGGGGTACTCTCCCACTCTGGACACCCTGTAGTTGCGATCTGCGCGATCCCAATTGCGACTCGCACAAACACTTTAGGGTTCGCGCCCAATGAAGACGTTCATTTGACAGTCGCGCCAACTCAACGACTACTGCGCATACACAGTGACGACCCTTTCGCGGTCAAACTCCAGAATTTGGGCAATGCTGCCGCACCGCGCAAAACAACCTGCCAAACACAAATTGAAGCCGTGAGAGTCCCCTGGAGGAGCATCGCAGCCCCAAAACTTCAAGCCCGAATAGGCAGAGCACAAAACCACTCGACTACAAAAGCAAGTCGCTGCTACCTACAACTATCACACTTTCATAGATCTCCAGTACCTAGCAACCATGGCTCCCAGGAGGAAACGCGCTGCTGTAACGCCCACAATAGCAGAGGAAGAAGTCGAAGTTCCTAAGGTTGACACTCCGTTCGTCGCATGGATGAAGGAGCAGGAAGCTGCGGGCATAAGGAAGGGCCGACTCGTAGGTGTTACCGATCACCGTGCTCCACACGTCACGACCGCATCGGCGACGTTCTCGCCTTCTGTGGACGGTGGTGGTATTGGCACTGATGTTGACAACGACAACTACGATGGCCTTGATGCGGCGGACAACGTGGACAGTGACATCGACACATACTACGACTCGGACGGGTACACCGGCGCCGACGTTGTCGATGATACGGAGGGCGGAGACACGCCTGCTGAGGAGGCTGGGTCGTCGCGTAAAGGCAAGCGTAAGGTGGCGCCTGGTCGATCGAAGAAATCGCATTGGAGCGAGGAAGAGCTTACCGAATTCGCTGCGGCTATGTGGTTTTGCAAGGACGACTTCGACAAGATGAAAGGCAAACAAGGGGCGCAGCCATGGAAGAAGCTTCGTCGCGTGTTACGCGATGCCAACCCCAAGTGGCGCCGCCCGTCGGACTCGATGATGAAGCAGTGGCCGCGGTTGAAGGCGAGGATGGAGGAAATCAAGTTGGCGGATGCGACCTCGGGTAACTCGTTGATGCCAAAGCCCGAGTGGTTCGACTTCGTCTTCAACTGTTGTTTCGCCGATCGCGCCCCGAATCCGCACATGGTGGACGAGGGAGGCACGCGCACTCAGCACGCTGTCCCGGGTACCTCCACGCCTGTGGTCCCGGCTTTCGTAGCCCCCAATGGTACCCAGCCCGCGCCTGCATCGGTTGGGCCTGCTGCAGCCACTAATGAAGGTAAGCTCAATGTGTTTTTCTGTTATTTAAGTGCACTCTTTTTTATGATCAGTGGGTCGAAATAAAAACAGCTACAATCTTGTCATCGGCAACAACTATACTAACTACCACTACGTACTACCAACCCTTTCACCTAACATCAGGTCCCAATGCTTCTCCGGCCCGCATTGCTGTGAGGAGGCGGTCCATGGAGTCGCCTGCATACGCGGGGCACCTCTTGGTCGCTGACACGATGACAAGGATCGCCGGCCAACGGGCGGCGCGGCAGGCCGCATCAATGGACCGCCTCATCTCTGTCCTTGAGCGCATCGCGGTGCCGCCACCTCCTGTCCCCGTCGCCCCAACCCAGCCCCCGGTCTCCACACCCCGGAACCCTAACGAGTCCCCACCTAATCGTGCTCATTTTGATGCGCACACCTCGGCCGGCACGCCGCCTTCTCACACGGCGTGGTACAACCCCACGATGCAGACCCCATTTGCAGCGCCACGACCCGCTGGCGTTCCAGCAACCGTGCAGCCCCCTATGATCCCGCCCGGCCACGACATGTCAACGGCGCGTCAGCTATATGCAGGGGCGCAGCCCGTGGTCGCCATGGACAGCAATGGGAACTGGTTCTTTACTGGCTCCCCGTCTGGACTGCACGGCCCGAATTGCCGCCTAAGCCATGCCGAGTGGATATGCACGCCGAAATGGCGGCGACGGGCCACAGCAGCATCTCTGGTCCGGACTGGTGAGGGCTCCCAAACGAAGCGCTGCACGCCTGGGCGCTCCCACCAGCGGTTGGGTCGTCGAGAAGTGTAGCTGCGCCACCATCCCCTTGCCCGCTTTGTGCACTCCCTCTGCTCCTCGATCATGTTGTGTAGGACAACAGCGCATCCAACCCCGGCACACACCCTCCACAGCTTGCTATCATGTCTTGAGGCGAAGATGCGCCAACGGTTTTTTAAGATTCCCATAGTTCGCTCCATTGCCATCCGAGTAGCCGACTGCACGTAGTTGAATGTCTGCTCCCATCCAGTCAGAAGCCTAGCTTTGCTTGCAAGCACGGGAACAAGGCAGTAGTCCTTCAATGGGTAGGCCGCATCACCTAGTAGTTGGTAGGGTTGTATGTCGCCATTGGCAATGCGTGTGTGTAATGCACTATTAGTGAAAACACGGCTATCGTGTGCAGAACCAGGCCAGCCCACCACGTAATCCCAGATTCTGCATCTAGCATCCACGGTGAGCTGGAGCTGCACCGAGTACATTTGCTTTCTGCAATAGTACTCTGTGCGGTACTCGTCAATGCCGCGCACTGGCAGATGCGTACCGTCAACCGCGCCAATCACATTAGGGACCCCCCTTGTTGCCCTGAACTCCGCCTCCATCTTCACCATCTCTTCACGTGATGGAAACCGCACCCAGTCGTTCTTGAAACGTCGGGGGAACGCAAGAAGGAAACAGTCGACAATGCGATGGCACACTGATTTTGGGACGCCGAAGAAGATGCTCATGTCAAGATATGACATGCCTGTAGCAAGGTATTTTATGGGGATCAACACACACAAACGAAGAGGAACCTGATGGCGTAAAGTCAGCTGGGAAAAATCATCTGTCATGTGAGCCTCTAGGTGCTCCATTATTGCACGATTAATTCGTAACAGCGCCACAAACTCGGCCTCCGTCATCTCCTCAATTCGACACAGCCACCCCGCCATTGTCGCTTCCCTGCGTACCCTGGTTTCAGTAGACATGGCGGATTGAGACGGCCGGGAAGGTCCCTCATTATCATCCGTGTCGATCATTTGCATCGCCAGTTGAGAGAGCAAGTCGTCCGTCTCTGCATCGTCGTCCGCCTCCCATTGCAGAAAAGCCGCTATCGCAATCGCTATCGCGGTGATGTCCAACGCCATGGCTGTTCGTTGTGCTATTAACAAACCTAGTGATCAATTTATGCATGTGTGTGGTACCTACGACTACTGGTTTCAAGAGCTTCGGTGAGAAGGTGGAGGACGAAGTGCAGAAACAGGCTTGCGCACATCAGTGGAACAACATCACGGACGTGGGCGAAAGGCTGGGGCATCTCAAATGTTTACAAATGCCCCCGTTTGGATGCACGTACAGTCAATACCACAACTGCGTCGTGCGCCGTTGGATGAGTTCGCTCACGGTCGTGGATGCGGCATTGCACGACCAAAACCACATTACATGTTGATGGGCAAAGTTCGAGCCGCATTTGCCCCAATTTCCTCACATTATACAAATTGGCGAACCGCGTGGGGTGACTTCGATGGCGGGCAAACGTGGGAACGCCACCTTATGCCAGTCACCATTCCTTCTCTCACTCGAGTTCCTCCAAGCCCGTTCATGACAGGGTGGCTGTAACGGCAGCTGGCCAATCGTGCCTTAGGGCATGGGCCCAAACGGGTCTGATCGGCTGTGATCTGATCGGATCGGATTGCTTGTGATCACTTTGCTCGAGCCGCCCGATCAGCAATTTTTTTCGTCGAAGTTTTGAAGCTGTTGCTTGGCAAGAGTATGAACATTACGCGGAAATTCTTATCCAGCTCACGCGATATTGGCGACTGAACGTGACCTGGCGAACGAATTTGTTTCCCTGTAATATCGTCAACCCATATAGAGTTCTCGCCATGTGCCATGCATGAGCGAGGGGTTTACGAGGCTAAATTAACAGTGTAACATTTCGTAACCATCGTTATGGCCCTCGATCACATGCAATCAACTGATCGAGGGTGATTGAGCAAAATCGAGTTTGATCGGGGTGAAAATCGGATGTGATTGAGTTGGGGCGATCAGCTGATCGCGATCAGCTGATTGCCCCCGATTGCCCGAAATTGGCTTCCAGGCTTCCTCGAATTTGTTGATTGCTTCTGATCGAGGCGATCAACCTCATTTGGGCCCACGCCCTTACCAAATTCACAGCGCGACGGAATGAGCCACGCAAGTCAGCGCGGCAGGGTCACCTTGATGACGCAATAGCAGCAGTTTCGTGAGCGACCGCACAAGTCAATCGGCTCAGTTCACGGGGCAGCAGCAACAGCTGCTGTTGGTGCACCCATACTCAGGTCGTGTCCGTAGGGATGACATGTCAAAGTGGGCAGTGTCATTTGGCATTTTGACACTCAGCCAACATTGTTGGCAGGGTGTCAAGAAATTGCAGGTTGCCAGCCAATACAAATCGTCGGACACTTTTAAAATTGGCACAGTCAAACCTACAAACGAGAAAAGATTGTCGCAGGTGCCTATCTCACGACCAGATGCTGCCCAATCAGCACACAATCTGTCTTTTGAATCGTTCGCTGCCTAGCAGATCCACACATGACAAATTCTCAAACCAATGAATTGCGTCGCTGATGTTCGTACATGCGCTTCGGCTTGACACTTCAGCTACAGTGTTTGACACTGTAATTCGAATGCGCTTCGGGTTGACATGCCCTCACTTGACATGTCAGCCATGCGGACACGAACTCAACCCTCTCTTCTCTTTCAGCGCCATCTACCAAAACCAGCAATAGTCTCTGAGCTGGGCGAAATACTTGGTTCTGTCCCGAACTTTCTGCCTTCGTCACGAAAGATAGTCCTAAGTTTCTTGATTTGTGAAATTCCGGATTCATGAGTGCTTGCACAACGGACATATCATGTTTCTTTGCAACCGCGTTTTTCATGTCTTAAAATTTATCATGGCGCGAAACTCGTTCGTCCCTCTCCAACCGTACTTCGTCATGGCCGCATGGTCGTCGTCATGCTCCTCGCTTTCGCCGCTGCTACGAGTACGTGTACTAGTGCCTATCGTGTGGCGGCCGATGGCCATCTACAAAGTGTTGGGCGTGCCGCGTCCGTAACGTCGAGTCAGGCTCGCATCAAGCTTCAACCCTCGCAACGTGAGATTACTAGTTTGGACATGATACTTTCAGCCGTTGCAGGCCTATGGTTATTTTTTTACTAAGTAAATAATTTACCCATTACAAATTTGAGAATTTATTCCCATGCTAAATTGCGTCACCAGTTCTAGTTGACCAGCCGACTGCCCATCCATGCTCATCCCCTTTGTCCCTGCCTTTCCATCCCCAACACAACCTTGTCTACCCTGCCCCTAGTGCAAGCGCTTTTGGCCATGAACGAAGCATGGGAGGGGTTTTATTACGACTTATCAAACATGTTTTGTGACGAGTGGAAGTCTTGCGATAATACTTTCTGGGTCGTGGACTGTAACGAGCATGGCATGGTTACCTTGCTGTGAGCTGTGAGCATGGCATGGTTACCTTGCTGTGATGGGAGGTGCTGCTGCTGAGTACCGGAGACAGGGGAATGAGGAACTGAGGATGGGATAGGGGAAAGGAAGGGCAGTGCATGAGTATGGAGGGCTGTTTGGCATGATGGATGATGGAAGAGAGCGAACACTGCAAGTGCAAATGGGCCATGATATAGGGACGTGCTGGGAAGTTAATGGAGCGAACCTGCATGCCTTTGCAGGTGACACAGTGTGCAGCAGTCATTGATGAACCTGCTTCAGCAATGCCACCCATTGCAACTGTACAATAATCCCCTGATTGATTTTCTTGTACGTTTTTCTTACCCAAAAGAACCGGCAAAAAAAACGTACAAAAAAGACACATTATATCATTGTGTATGAGTTTTTCTTTCTGGTCTGTGTTTCCATTTCAAAAAAATATGTTCTGCGATGCAGGTTAATGTGTGGTCCCAATTCTTATTTCAGTTCCCGCGGTGAAGAATACTTGGACTTCCCATTTGAAGCTGTGTCGTTAGCCATCACAGCCTTCACTGATCTTCAGCATCTGTCAGTGCAGACCTCTGGAAGGGAGGCACCAGGATGGCCGTAGGCGAGTTTGAAGGGCCACAGATTGGCCTGTGGGTGCGCTGAACCACAACTGGAACATGTGTGCTGGCGATCTAGAAGAAACGCGTGGCACACGGTTGGGATTTCCCCGTGTATCTCTTGCTTTCATCATTCCACACGCTACTCAATAAGTTGTTTATCATCCGAAGTCTGCACCCTGTACAGGACCCCATAGCTCACCAATTCTGTAATTCGCTCCTTTTGAGTCACCCTGCCCTCTTGCACTGCATGAATTTCTGCAGGGATCTGTCTTCGTTTTACATTTCCGGAAACCTGGAGATTCTTGGCCATTTCCCCAAGTTGCAATATGTGTACGCGGCTCAATCTGCTCCGCCTTTGCACGCTTCTGACTCCTGAAGCAATGCCGGGATATCTTTGCTTAAAAGCGGGGATAACAGTCGAGTGCCCAAGTCTTCAAGTGCTTTGCTTCGCGTGTGTCTGCTTACGACGTTGTTTTGGTTTCACCAGGGCCACTTTATTTTACCAGCAAACAAAAAACAAATGCCCAAAATCTGTACATTGAATGTGCGCCTGTCATTTCTTTACCTCGCATTGCCTTCTCCCACTTTTGAGCTGTGTCTGCCCCATCCACTTGGTTGCCAACTGACGCGGCAGAGATCTGAACGATAACGATTTCAGTGGATCCATCCCCGAGTCTATCAGCAATGCCAAGAATCTGAGGCACCTGTAAGAGGGGGCTCTAGTGCCAACGCATGGACGAAACATGAATATTAACTCCATTATTCAGCATGTCCCATTCAACTTAACATGATGGGTAGTGTTAGTTTGTTGGTTTGTTTTTTCTTCAGTGTTTGTTTAATTTGTTGTTTTTTGTGTTGTTGCTGCTGCTGCAGCAGCTGCTGCCACTGCTGCCACTGCCACTGCCGCTGCCGCTGCTGTTGCTGCTGCTTCTGTTCTATCTCTTCTTCATTTCTTTTCGTTTGGTTTTGTTATTATATATATATTTTTATTCAGGTTAGTTCTGTTTGCCTTCTTCTGGTTTTTGGGCAGCATTCTTCAGTACCAATTCTCCAGCTTCTGAGATGCAATCTCAACTTATTTCTGTGCCAATGCACTTTATCGCCTGTTGGCACGCACTTCTGTGCACCAATCTGCATGCATACCATTCCAGTGACCTCATGGGGGTGTCTCTCAGTGGACGTCTCCCTTGCAGCATCAGTCGTCTCACTGCACTCGAACTCCTGTACCTGCCCTCTCTCCTTCCGAGACCTCCCCAATTTCCTCTTCCACCTACTTGCAGCCATGTACATGGTAGTTTGTGCTTTCCTCACGTCCCAACTGCTGCTCCACTCTCTTTCAGACCCCACCAGTTCATTCCGTGCACAAAGATGATCCCTTGTCCCAACCCTCTTTCCCAACCTTTGCACATCCCCAACAAACATGCAGGCGTATTGGAACGCCTCAACTTGACCATGATCCATACAGTTTACGCTCTACCTTTTACGACCCAACTGAGTGAGATTGATGGGAATGGCTTGGGGCTCGTGCTGCCTGCTGGTGCGTGCCATGGTGGATGATGTGCGCAAATCGCAGTGATAATTGCAAAAGTTGTAGCCTGTAGTCAGTGGCACATGTGTGTGCAGCTCGAGAAGCTATGCTTGAAATGCTCTAGGCTTCACTTGCAAATGCGATGCATTGAGCTCTGTTCTGAAGGGCACAGTGCAGCAGGTTAGGTCATCCATTCACACGCCTCAAATGCCTCTCGTTCTCCAACCTTCTCAATCCCTCGTGCTCACTGCTCCATGCATCCAGCACATGGAGCTCCTGTTCTACCCCCCACTGTGACTACTATTGTTGTCATGCCGTGTGCAAATGCGGACCACAGAAAGCTCATCACTCCCCGTCTCCATTCTCCCTGCTGTCTGTCTCTCTCGCAGCATTTTCTCGGTTCAGTCATCCATGAGTCCCCCTGTGATGCAAGGCTCCGTGGAAGACCTCTCGTGTCTCGCCCCACTCACTCGCCTCAACCGCCTGTATGCTCCAATTCTTGCACACCACAATCTCACTCTACGCACCTTTCACTCCCCTTTCACTCATACCTACTTGCCTTATCCTCCCCTCTCACTCATCTCTATCAGCATTTTTCTCCCCTCTCACCCACCACTACCCCTCGTATCCTCCCCTCTCGCTCACCACTATCCCTCGTCTCCTTCCCTCTCACGCACCCCTGCCTGCCTTCCCAACAACAACAAGTGTTCCTATTCATTGCCCAATGTATTCTATGTTGGAATATACGCGTTTAGTGTATATACACGCTATCGCTTATACACTATCCACTTAGGGGTCGGTTTGGACATACGCTTTTTTGGGCAGGGGAAGATCTTTCCTGGACAGGTGAAAAAACATCGTGCCCTACATCGGGAAGGTATTTTCTATTCTCACTAAGACTTTCGTAGCATTTTCCTAAGTCAGAACGGCGATTGGGGTGGGATGTGTAGTAGACACTATCGCTAAAGGAGTAGGAATCGGAATGAACTCTGTTGGGAAGCGGGAAAGTAAGCTAGTAGATATGACAAGTGCAGCTGGGTTGGCTGGTAAGTAGCGTGAGAGGAGTTTGTTGGGGGGACGTTTTTGACAGATTGGAGTTTGTAGATGGGATGGTTTTCAATGCGGTACTAATCGGAATTGTAAATCTGAACTGCCAGACGCGATTGAAAACTTTGGAGGCACATATCCCCTTCTCTAGAACGCCGTTTTGCATCTCGACTTCGGCGAAATGCTCACCAGCAGATTCCACATCTTTCCGTGTACCTTCGATTCTTTTTTTTCCCCAGGAAGCCCCTAACAATTTGTGACTGCGTATAGCGTATTAGCTAGCGTATAGCGTTTTGCGTATAAACGCAAGGGTGTATATACTATACGCTTTAGGAACTGACCGTATACTCCAACTTAGAATGTATTCAAGTCCTCTTGCAAACCTCAGCACCCATCCAAGTGGCTCTCTGCCTGCTGCTGCCCCCCTCTCTCCCACATTCTACACGGCACTTGCCCGTGCTCTCATTTCTGCTCAGTGCACTCAAGGGTCTCAACCTCACGGCTGGAGAGCTCCCTTCCTCTCTTTCTGCCCTTACTAAACTCAAAGAGCTGTAAGTTTCTTGAGTATCTGCTGCACTGTCGCTGGATGCGTGCCTTGTCTTGTTTTCTTTTCTTCCATATTTGATGCATAATTTCGGTAACCAACGAGGCACAACCACGATACCGGTGTCATCTTGACGTTCTCTTGGTTAGCTCTATGCTTGCTCGTTGAACTTGAACGCATTGCATCCGATGAGCGTGTGTACTATGATCCAAGGTTCAAAAATATGGTTTTCGTAAATTACGGTCCGTTTTTTCCGGTTTTTTTTTTTTTTAACGGCGTTTTTTGTTAAAGAACGCTTGTCACCAAGAAAAAAAAGGCAAAAACAAGGTCGGACACAAATTCAATCATGCCCACACATGCACACATGCAAGGAGGGATTCATCCTCTTCATGCTGGTGATTTTCGCCATCAATTTGGTCCCATAAAATGGCCGATTTTTTCTTCAAGCAAAAATCACCTTCTGGAACCGTTTTTTACCGTTTTTTACAGTACCGTTTTTTACGGCCGTTTATTACGGTAAATTTCCAAAAAAACGACGTTTTTTTTAACCTTGCTATGATCAAATCGAAATCAAATGCTTTTCATCCCTCCCGAGTAGTACTACAGTGCATGGGTACACGGTACACCTCACGAAGGAACAAGCATACACGTATCGTTTTCAAGGATTCACAGGTCCTATTAATAAACCATCACAAAATTCCTTTGGTTAAACCAGCAGGGCACAGCGGAAGCTTGAGGTTGTGCTCGCCCTCACTCCCCCCTCTCTTCTTCCCTCTGTGGCAGTGACCTGATGTTCCTTCGCAGCATCCGCTTACAGCAATGGATCAATTCACTCTCCAGCCTCACTTACTTGTGAGTCGCACCACGATCCCCTCTCCCCAACTCGGCCCTGACTTTCATCAGCACTTCTGTCGTATCTTGCACCTGATTCACTTGGTAAAAGAGGCCCAGGCACATTTGTTCTGTGGGTTCTTTCCATGTCGTCACCCCCCCTGCACAAACTGTGAATCGCTCCAGTCTTGCCATTGCGTTGCTTTGCTCACTGCTGGAGCTATGCCAAGGCTCGCTGCGGAAGCTCGCTTTCTAACTCAGTTGTGCTGCCTTCATCCGAGTACTTTCGTTGTCGTCCTCTCTCTGGCCATACGCTGTTTTTCCACAATCCGTACTGCCGTGTGCTGTGCTGCCCTAGGCCACCAATCAGAGTGCTCTCCCCCAATCTCATCCTCCACTGACTAGAGTTTATCAGAGTGCCTGTGCCCATGCCTCAGTCACCACCCTCCTAACCTTAACCACACTGCACTGCAGGGACGTCACCGGCAACTTTGACGTCCACCGCTCTGCATCATTCCCCACCGATTGGATGGCGTTCACAGGGCTAGAAACTTTGTGAGCCATGCACTATGTCAAGAGCACACCATGTTGGTTTGACAGATTGAGCTGCTCAAACCTCTCCCACTGTTCTATTGTTGTTTGAGCGCCACTCCCCATTTACAGTGTCAAGAGCACACCATCTTGATTTGACACCTTGAGAACTGTCCGACCAATTGATTAGATTGAGAGCTGCTCAGCCCGCTGCATTTGATTTAGAACTGTCCGACCGATCGATTGGTGGCATTGCACATGGGTCCATTCTCAGACATCTCCCACCATTCCATTGTTGTTAGCCCGGTTGGCCCACTGCCTGCCTTGCCCACCAGCCACCAGTGCGTGCACGTCTCCTCTCGCCCCCCCCCTTCCACCTCCAGGCGGGCTGGTCTGAATGGCTTCACTGGCTCTATCCCCTCCACCATCTCCGCCCTCACCAATCTCACTGACCTGTACGCCTCCCTTCCCATCCCACCCACCGCTCCCTCTTTTTTTTGCACTCCTCCTCCTCTTCCTCCTCCTCCTCCTCCTCCTCCTCCTCCTCCTGCTCCTCCTCCTCCTCCTCCTCCTCCTCCTCCCCCTCCTTCCAAAAGATCGTCATTTGAGATGCAGTGGTTCTAACAAATAGGAAGATAAGATTTACAAAAGCATCAACTTTAGAGCAGCAGGGTTTGAGGGCCAACCTGGAAAAGGAATAAGATATAGTGAAGGCGGTTCATCTTGTAAAGGTGGTTCCTTTTGTGAAGGCGGTTCAGCCTGTCATTTCCTCCAAGGCAGCGACAACCCCTCTCCCATCCTCGCAATGGCCCCACCAGGGAGCTCTATTTCAACAACCTCTCAGGGAGCATCCCTGCTGAAATCGTCAAGCTCACTGACCTGCGTGTCATGTAAGGCCCTCACATCTTCACTTGTGATTGATTTTTACCATGGCTTTAAACTCGACTCAGCGTGCCAAAGAAATTCCTCAGTTTGACTCGAGGTGAACCACGTTTTGGACCTTTGCCCATGTCAACATCATGTGATCTGTATAGCATGCCGCCTCCCCCTTCCAATTTAAAGCCGTTGGCCCAAATTGCACAAGTTTTAAAAGGTTGACACGCGGGGGTTTTTCTGGTCTGGGTTTTGGCGAGTGATTCTGATATTTTTGTTCCCCGTTATTTTTTTGCCAAACCCAGCCTGCCTTCGTATTTTGCCTTGGGGGTTGGTTCAGTCCCAAGAAGTCCCAAATTGCAGGCGCGCTTCTTTTCAAATCTTGCAAACACTACTTCGTCAAGTTTTAAATGCTTGACCAGCGTGCTCCGCAATTTGGGCCGCGGGTTTTAATTCGTGATTCATACCCGCCCTCTTTTTCTGCCTTCTACCTCCACTAGCTTGCACGTGCCTTGCTCCCTCGTATTGGCTTGCATCAGCATCAACCCAGAAATCAGCTTTCCATTCCATCCGTGATGGGTCTACCACAGGCGTGACACTATAGACGTCTTAATCAAGCCACTCTGGAAAATGCTATGAATATAGTTACGGAGTTGCAAGGTCACAAGCAGCCATTACCTCGAAGCTAATCCCTGCACTGTACAAGTCCTTTCCCCTCATACGGAATGACAATCCACTGCATAGAATCGCATTGCACTGCCCATCCCTAATTCCCATGCCCTGGCCTCTCCCCACACGCGCTTGCCGCCACACAACACAGGGGGCTCTCCTTCAACAATCTCACCGGTGCCGTTCCTGCCTTCACTGGCGAACACTTTGGAACCTTGTGAGTCTTTAAAACCTGCCTCTCCCCGTGACCGAACAAGTGTCAACCATATGGAAGGAATCAGCTGGAGACTCTCTCAATATGCCCCTTTGAATTCTCCTGCTACTACTTTGGCAATGTATATATGTGTTCTTGATAGCCTAAGGTTGTGTGAAGATTCCGAAATTCTCGCACCACCCTATTATTATGGCATGCCCGTTCTTGGTTATGAGGGTAGCTGGTTGTGCTGTGTTGTGCTCTTGATAGCTGAGGTTGTATGAAGATTCGGATATTCTCACACCTCCCTGTGATGACATGCATCATGCACTTTATGTTCAACAGTCCTGCCTCGTGCTCCTCCAATAATGGATCGGAGCTGTTCCAAATCGCACATCCCTTTGGTGTGTAGCACTCAAACATTCCCACCCCTGGCTCAACATGCATATCCCTTCTCTCTTCCGCATCCCCTCCCCTCTGCCTGCCCTCACTGCGTGCAGAGACCTCTCCCACAATCACCTCAGCACCGTGCCTCCTGCCATCAATGTGGGAACTCTGTAAGTCCCAGGAAAATTGAGGGCACAAGGACGTGAGCAAGAGAGAGGGACCATGCAAGGAAGGGAGATATTTACCAATATCCTTTTGCTGTACCAGCTGTCCCATGGTATAAGGGACCACTTGAGAGAGGGAGAGAGGGGGAAAGAGGATAGGACGTAAAGACCTCACAGTCGTCGAGTGTGCAATGACTGGTAGTACATGGAGAGGAAGCACCCTTCACTCACATGTATACCGCCTCTTATCCTTCCAACTCCTACCCAAAACTGGTGAGACTGCATCACCGTCTGCTCCTAACACCTCACCTGCAAGGGCACCGGATGGTCTGGTGGCCAAATGGACAGTACATTTGGTAATTGAGTTTGCAAGACAGCTAGCTGTATTGGAGGAATTGTATGGACGTCTTTGCCATGTCCTAGGTGGTGTTGCCTTGCCACGTTGCCGTTTCCTAATGCGAAGGACCATTTGAGAGGGCAAGTGAGCGGTGATGTTGGTTTAGTGTTCAGGGACTTGAGTCGCAATATGCTCCCTCTTTAATATCGGTGACCCCACCAAGCACACTCGGCTTTTGATGTACTTGACTTGAGTCATGGCAAGTCATAGTATTATTTGTCGATGCTTTGCGGACTCGTCTGTGTGGGGTATAGTCAGCATTGGCTCAACAAGTCAGCTAACTCGAACAAATTTGTGATGCACTAGAATCGAGCACTGTCTCTGAAAAATCATTTGTTTTTCTTGAATTGTAATCATACCAGATCCTGTGTGTCTCTCTTCCAATTTCTCTTCTGATCCTCTCCTCTCACCTCCTTTCACTTCCTCTCATCTCCTCACGCCTCCTCACCTCATCTCACTCCTTCTCACCTCTACCCATCCTTTTAGCTCCCCTCGTCTTGTCTGACTTCGTAGGTCTTTTGCCTATTGGGTCAGGTATTCATTTGAGTCGCAATATGCTCCTGCTTTGATGTCGGTGATCCCACCAAGCAAGCTCGGCTTTTGATGTACTCGACTTGACTCGAGTCATGGCAAATCATAGTGTTTTTTTTTTTTTTTTTTTTTTTTTTTTTTTTCCGGTGCTTTGCGATATACATGGTCAAACTGACGAGTCGAGCAAAACTCGACTCGTCCATGGTCTTGCTCGTCCGAGTCTTGCCCCGAGCCGAGCAAAACTCTGACGAGCAATTTTCTCGTTTTTGGATACTCGTGGCTCGTCGTTTTTGGACAACCTCGGACGAGTTTAGGCACTTGCTCGTCCGAGCACAAGTAATGCTCGACTCGCCACGCCAGCCCGTGCCTTGTAACTGCAAAATCTGCCCCTGCGTAATTTTCCTAAGACAAGACATGTCTAGGTTGCATTCGTCGACATGATTTTCTATTTGTATCTTAGTGAAATGTCGCGACTCGTTTTCGTTTGATCGAAATAGAAACGTTCCTAAGATGCCGAGGTAAAACGGGCTAAGCGTTCAGCTAGGAACTAAGTTGCCTGGTCCGCGGAACTAGGTAAGAAATTTGAGCACGATAGCTGTCGAGATGTGGAGGGGGGGGGCGCGGGGGGGCTGGGGTGGATTGGGATGAGGAAATGTGAGTCGCGTCAAACTGTTTCGCGATAACAATTCGCGAACATCTTGACCGGATCGCAGGTGATTCGTGGTAGGGCACAACAAAACGTCACCCGCTCGCCAATTTCGCGAGCGGTGAAAATTGTGGTGGTTGGGCACAAATGTGTTTCTCAGATCTGTACCCAACCATTCAAGCAATTTTACTGGTTGGGAAGTGGTTGGGACCACTTGCCAGGTTCAGATTTGGACCCAGATTTTTCGCTAATTTGAACCCCAGGCAAAAGTCACGCGACGAGTTTTCTTATGCTCGACGAGCACAAAACTCGCGCGAAATTGCTCGTCGCCCAGGCCGAGCATGAGACGAGTTAAAAAAACTCGCCGAGTAAAACTCGGCTCGACTCGGGCGAGTTTTTTCGCCAAAAAAACAGGCTCGTCACTCGGCCCCCAACGAGCATTTCGAACGAGTAGAGTAAAAACCCTACCCTCGCTGCCCATGCATACTTTGCGAACTCGTCTGGGTGGGGTACAGTCAGCATTGGCTCAACTGACAGAGCTTCCAAAGTCCACCTACTCTCGGCATGCATGAGAAAACGGTTGACGTTGAATCTCATCATGGAGTTGAGATGCGTCCTTCCCAATCAACCCCTTGCAGCAAGCTGAGCCACAACGACCTCAAGGGATCTGTGCCCGCCCTTGTCGCCCGGCATTTGTAAGATGGGTCCTCCATCAGTAGCATGTGAGATGTGCTGCTTCACCATTTTTATGCCAAATGCAAATGATGAGTCCTTTAGTTGCCGTGTCCACTTCAAAGAAACTCCAGAGTTAGGCGTGCACCCCTTGCACTCACCCGTGTGCTTGGCTACTCGGAAAAAAACACAAAGCTTTCATGGCAGGGCCAGCAATCCTAGACACGGAGGTGCTTCCACAAGATGTATCCGTCACCTCACATTCACACACTGAGAAAATTGAGGGCCATCCCTAAACAGCGTGGATTGGAGATTATGGTTAGCCACATTTGGGCAGGGTCAGGAAACAAGTGGTTCAACACCCAACAAATGCAAATCAAAAGTACGCTAATCCACAGTATAGAAACGTACAGAACGAGATATTGAATTCCCTCTCTATAAGTTAGCAGATAGGCCCTGTTGTCCCTTTTTCTGTCACTT